CTCATTAGGCTTCCTAATTTTTACTGATAGAATGAGTTTAAATGGCCCTGATTTGCATTTCTGTGATTAATGGCTTTGAAAATCTCATCTTATTTATTGACTATAAATAGGCACTCTTCTATGAAATACTTACGTCTTTCAATCATTTCTCTATTGGGTTGTTTTTTCTCTAATTGATTTGTAAGAGCCTTTTCATATATTTTTGTATTAATTCCTTGATGATCACATACATTAAAGATAAAATAAAATTTGAAGGCTATTGTTGCAGTAAGGGTCTCACGGAAAAGCGATGTTCCAAAGAATAAGCACGCTTATTGAAATTGTATTTTAAATAAAGGTGACCATCTGCTCCCTCAGGCAAAATGGTGAGCTTCTTTATTTGCAGTTGGCTTATATAGGGAATTTTGTATATGAGCATAATGCAGCAATGACCTCATTGATCCATTTAAACAGCTTATGACCACCCGCCCTGTAAGTAGCTCCTCCCTGGTAATCTAATAATCCACCCAACATACACCTTTAAGCATAATCCTTTCAATATAACCTGCCATGCCATTTGGAGGCAGTTACTTCAAATCTTTAAGCAAAGCATGGAGTAACTTCTTGGGCATATAGGCGTTTCTGTTCAAACCTCTGCTCCCATGTAGGCCTTAAGTCAGGGCGGGGTGGGGGGGTTGCTGGAGACTTTTATAAAGAATTCTCAGGCTGGACTTCTCAAAAGCCTTTCATGAGCCCAAGTTTCATCTGTGCCATTAGATACTTGTATGACATTACCATTCCCAGACCTGTCAGCAAGCGACCTTCATCACTTACCACAGATTAGGAAAGGTTACTCCATTCCCAGACCCGTCAATAAGTGACCTTCGTCACTTACCACAGATCAGGAAAGGTTATTGATGGGTATCTGGCCAGTGTTCCAAAGGGTTTTCTCATAGGCCTTATAAAGTCAACCTTAATTCCTTAACGCAGTCTGGAAATGCTATTCCTGCCAAAACCTTGTTAATGTTAGGCCTGCAACTAACCTGGCTACATGGGATTTTGCCTCAGTTTCTTAAGTATGCCTGCACAAAGTCTTTTCACTGCTCTCTCTCAAGTCGCTTTTTTTGGCCAGAGGCATATAGGCGTTTCGCCTATAGGCTATTAGGCTGAGAAGGCTTCAGCATATTGGGTTCCTACATACGCAAACCCAAGTCCAATATAAACAATAAAATGAAACTCTTGCTTAAACAGTCAGAAACCACCACTAACCTTTAACTAGGAACTTAACTAATCAGAAACCACCAACTAACCCTTCCGGGGGGGGGGGACTTCCACTTTAAGTAGGTTTTTTTTTTGTGTCTACCTTCTTGACCGACTGTGTAAGTTTCCTCTGGCCCCTCAGTGGAGGGCAGAATTGCTTGCAGCCTAATCCTCATTCATGAACCATGAGTGTTCAAATAAAATTGTTAAAATTTTTACATGCTCAAATCTATCTTTTAACAGAAATACTTTGCCAACTCATAGCCTGTCTTTGGTCATTTTACTTTTAGGTCTTTGAATAAATCAGAACTGCTCATTTTGATTGTTCAAATTTATCATTCTTGTTATATAGTGCTTTTTACATGTTAAGAAATTTTTCCCTAACTTATGCATGAAAAGTTAATTGCCTATATTTTCTACTAATATTTAAGGTTTTATTCTTATTTAAGTCTTCACTCCATCTTCATATGGTGTATATTATGTGCTAAATTGTGTCCCCCTTGGATTCATATGTCAAAACCCTAATCCAGTACCTCAGCATATGCCTGTTCCTGTGAGACAGGCTCTCCAGAGAGCTAATTAAGGTTAAATGATGTCATATGGGTAGGCCCTAATCTAGTCTGACTGCTGTCCTTGTAAGATGAAATTTGAACATACAGGGGCATCAGGAGAAACCAAATCTGCAACACCATGATCTTAGTCTTACAGTCTCCAGAATTGTGAGAAAATTAATTTCTGTTGTTAAGACACCCAGTTTGTGGTGTTCTGGAATGACAGCTATAGCAAATGACAATGGTGTGAGATGTGGCTTTCATTTTATATGGAAAAGCAGTTTGATCCTGGCTCCATTTACTGAATAGTCCCTCCCCTCCTTGCTAGTCTATCATGTCGTTACTGTCATGCACCAAAGTTCCATAGTTATGTGGATCTACCTCTAGGCTCTTTATTCAATTTCTCTGATTTCCTGTTTCTGGGAGAGGACCAACCAAACTTTCCTCATTGCTTTCTGAATCCCTGTATCTTCATTTTAAGTCCTGACACCTGGTAGAGAGAACTTCCCCCTTTCATTCTTCTTTAAAGTGACTCTGCTATTTTTTGGTACTCTACACAATTTCATATAATTTTTACAACCATCTTGTCAAGTTTAACAAAAAATCCTATTAAGATTTCAAATTGCATCAGCATGAAACTTATAGATGCACAGAGAAATATTTTGAAAAGATTTAGAACCAAAAGTGTATTTATTTCCTTTTTTGTTCTATGCACTGCAATTTTGGTTCTGGCCACATGATGGCACCACAATCTGAATAATCATATTTTCACGGTTGGAAAGAAGACACCATAAGAAGACTTAAGCAGTGTTAATACTTTATTAAATGTCTGCATGTTATGGAAGACAAACCTGAATTTCATATGGAACGTTCAATACTTTATTACATATAAAAGTCTATTTCGTAAAAACATAATGTTACATGATAGTCAAAGAAATAACTGGAATAAAAACATCAGGACAACCTGTTCTTCAGTCTTTTTATTTTAGGCCATAAACAAATGCACATACATAATTAAATATATCATATAAGTATGTATTTATCTACCATTAAAAAAATACATGGTTTATAAAACCAGCTTTGGGAAATTCAGGTAATATTTTCCAAACTGACAAGCTCTCTGTGGTGAATAGATTTGCATAAATCTGGGAAGCAAAGGTCATTCCTGGGTAAATGAATAAAGGGGAGGATTATATATTTCTTAATTTCCACCCCTCAGCACCACTCTTTAGTATAGTCCTGATAATCTTGGCGCTAAAGTCTACCCTTACTTATGAGAAACATGCCTGGGCTTGCCCTGAACTCTTGAATGAGTCAACACCCCTCCCCCTGTGAGACAGAAAACACTTTCCCTTTGTACTCTGTAAAGACAATGCAGCCTCCTTTCTGTATTATGTTGGAAGTAGACTTTGTAAATGTTTAATGAATTGATACCACACATCCCTAAACTTGATAATGGACTACAGCAACACCTTTTCTATGTAACAACCAGGGGTTCATTAATCTAATATTATAAATGTCTCTGGAATTTAATATCAAAAATCCATTTACTATATCCTGTTAACTTAGATAAAAAGATTCAGGTATGATGCTAATATAACATGGATGATCTACTAAAACATATAGAGTGAATAGTTACTGAAATTCTCCAAGCCTCAGTTTCCTCATCTGTTAAGTGCAGTACTGTAGGAGACCACAACAGGCCACCCCAAATATGGCTCTGGATTAAGGATTATTTTTGTGAAACAGCAGACGCAGTTCAGAAAATCTGAAAATGGCATATTACCTTTTTGTAAGGAAAAACAGTACTTACAAAAAGAAAAAATTCCATTTGTCAGACTGTCTCTTCTGTACCAAGAGGAAAAGGATGACTCTAAATCTCCAGGAGCTCTTTCAAGGGAGAAATACAAATCTTACTCTTATTTACCATACTTTTCCTGGTCACCTTTCCATAACTGGCCTTCCCTACACTTTTGGGGGTAGGCGGAGGGTTTAGCTGAAAATGGTATTTAAGCCCCAATTCTCAATTTTCCTGGTTATTGTCCACACACATATGAGACACACATTTGTTTGTTTTCTTCTTCATCTGCCTGGTTACAGAACCCAGGCCCAAATTTAGAAGCGTAGAAAATTATTTTTCCTCCCTTACATAAGAGTATTTACCACTCACAATTGTTGTAAGATTAAATAAAGACACTTCACTGAACAGCGCTCAATAAATGTTACACTATTGTAAAAAAATGTGCTCCCAGGTTAGTAAAACCGCACAGTAAAATCTGGAAGTAGGAAACTAAGCCACGTGTTAGCACACTTGCCTACACACCTCTTTATTTTACCAATGCCCCCACTCCACTGGATCAACTCTCCCAGCACCAGGTCATCTAATAAGACTTGTGAACAGATGCATTCTACAGTAGTAGTCGTAGGGACTTAGACTGTAAAATCGTCTAAGCTGGCATCTATTTTACCGGCACTGTCAGAGGGCTCACATTGTTCACCACGGTCTCTGCGCAGACCTCTAACCGCACTCCCGCGACAGTCCACGAGATGACGCCCTTGCTCTCTGGTCTTCCACAACTGGACGCTTCGTCGGCTGCCGACTTCCCCTTCCAAGGTTAGGGGTCTGACCTCGGGCGGAGGCTCGCTCTCTGACCTAGAGTCGAGGGGGTGATGGGCAGAGGCCAGACGGGCCTCAGGTGGGATCCCGGCGCTGTCAGCCAATCGACCGCCGAGTCCCCAGCTTGCGAGCCGGAGTCCGCCTCATTCGGAAGGGGCAGAGGAGCTTGGACGCCCGGCCCCCGGGTCCCTGGCCTTTCACCCGGCATGGCTTCCGCGCAGTGCCCCTGCCCAGACTCGAGGGGGTCCGTAACGGTCGCCGCGCCTCCAGGCAGCAGCCCCCGACGGTTCCAGAGGGCGGGGGTGAGGACGACTCCGGGCACACTCACACCTTGACACTGGCGGCGTCAGGTGGCGGGCGGTCTGGGAGGTCAGTGGGGGCTGGGGGGAGGATGGACCTGCGTTTACACCGGCGCCCAATGGGCCCCGGTCACTCCTCGGCCCCGCCACCGTGCGGCACGGAAGGGGCCGGGCGCAGGCCCTCGGGTTTCTGATTTCAACATCGAGGCTCGGAGTACTCGAAGAATGGGGTGGCGGGCGAGCGGACCGCCCCGCGCCTCTGCCGGCCTCTGGGTGGCGGCAAGAGCTTCCAGCCGCGGCACTCGGGAGCAGGACCCGAGCCAGCCCGGCCTGCCTCTGGGCTGAACCTGCGCGCTCGGGCGGCCGGTGGGCGGGGCGTGTCTCGTGACGTCACATTCGCTCTCGGGTCTCCGCCCCTTTCCCGTCGGCCGAATATAAGGCTTCGGCGAGCGTTCGCACTCGCACAAGTGGAGTGGGGAGTCGGGCGCGGGTTGGAGGCAGAGGCGAAGGCTCGAGGGCTAGGGCCGGCTGGGACGTGTGTCCGCGCCTCGGAGGTGGCAGCAGGCGGTGCCAGGCGCCGCGGAGACGATGGAACTCTTGCGGACTATCACCTACCAGCCAGCTGCCGGCACCAAGATGTGTGAGCAGGCTCTGGGCAAAGCTTGCGGCGGGGATTCTAAGAAGAAGCGACCGCAGCAGCCCCCCGAAGAGCCGCAAGCGCCGCAGCCCCAGACGCAGGTGCAGCCGGCGGCCCAGCATCACCATCACCACCACTCGCACTCGGGGCCCGAGATCTCGCGGATTATCGTCGACCCCACGACGGGGAAGCGCTACTGCCGGGGCAAAGTGCTGGGAAAGGTGACAAGCGCCGGACGCTGGGCTACCGGGAGGGAGGGAGGGCTGCCGGGGTAACCTCGAGTCCCAGCGCCTGCCGCCCCTCGGTTTCTCGGGGGCCGGGTCCCGGAGTGGCGTGGGCCCCTCATCTGCTCCCCTCCGGCTTTTGTGCGCTGAGGATTGGCTTTCCATCCTTAGCCACGCATTTGTGTACCTCCCGCAGCCCAAATAAATTCATCCTGAGTCTAGACGCCAGGGCTTTCCATAGCAGACGTATCGCTCTCTCCGCTTGCTCCCTGGAGAATTTTTCCTGACGAGTCCCTTCAGACATTCATTTTCATCTTACCCAGCTCAGCTCCTTTCTTAAAGCTCCCCATTGTAAAGGAAGAAAACTGAACTCCCTGTTTTCAGAATGCGTTTCTCTGTACGAAGGCGCTTTTACAAAGTAGACTGCATCCCTCTGATCACTCTCCGTTCCTCCAATTTTTGCTTTTGTGTTTTTCTTCTTTGATCTCTTTATTTATTTATTTAAGATCTCTGCCGTCCGTTTTTCTGCCTTACTCAAATTCTCTCTTGGCTCGGTTTCCTTTCAGGGTGGCTTTGCGAAATGTTACGAGATGACGGATTTGACAAATAACAAAGTCTACGCTGCAAAAATTATTCCTCACAGCAGAGTAGCTAAGCCTCATCAGAGGGAAAAGGTGTGTATGGCTGTTGAGTCAAGTATTTTCTTTGTGTGCGGGGATGGCCCTTCCCTCCTAGGAAAATGTCTTCTGCATGTGTAAGCGCCAGCTTTTCAGAGGGGACGGGAGCAAATAAGCCTTATCTTGCTTTTTCTTGTAGATTGACAAAGAAATAGAGCTTCACAGAATTCTTCACCACAAGCATGTAGTGCAGTTCTACCACTACTTTGAGGACAAAGAGAACATTTACATTCTCTTGGAATACTGCAGTAGGAGGGTAAGCCTTAACTCCAGTTTCATTTGCTTCCCCGAATTTAAAATGGTAGTCAAATAGCATTTTGTGTGGGAGGGAGTGGGAGCTGCGGCAACACTGGCAAGGCAACAGCAACTTTCACGGCTCATCCTGGATTTTGATACCTTTGTTTGACAGATTCTCTTTTTTCCTTCTCTTGGTCCTAGTCCATGGCTCATATTTTGAAAGCAAGAAAGGTGTTAACAGAGCCGGAAGTCCGATACTATCTCAGGCAGATTGTGTCTGGGCTAAAGTACCTTCATGAACAAGAAATCTTGCACAGAGATCTCAAACTAGGTAAGCCCTTGATGTCGCATGCTGAATTTTGTGTTAGAGAGAGGTGTTCTTTTTGTCTCTCTCTTCCTTTCTGTGTATTAATATTCTTAATGGGGATCTAGACTAGGCAATCTTGCTTTTGAATGTAATATACCAACAGACTGCCTCCAAAATGAGTGTGTGCATACCTGGTTAGAAGATCTTTGCAAAGAGATTCATATTTTGTTTTATTTATTGTCTAGGGAATTTTTTTATTAATGAAGCCATGGAACTGAAAGTTGGGGACTTCGGTTTGGCAGCCAGGCTGGAACCCTTGGAACACAGAAGGAGGTAAGAGTCAGAAAGATGCATCCTGCTAGGGTTTTGTGGAGACCAGATGCCTTTATAATTCTACAGTTAATGTTTTGGAGGTCAGTTGATATGGAAGTCTATAAACCCCAAGAAGGTCAGTTTAAAGAAACACTTGTTAAGTACCTACTATGGACCAGAAAGAACATATGATGCTTCTAAAGTTCATTACTGAAGCAATCAAATAAGTCTTATTTATGTCTGAATATGTAAAAATGCCATAATGTTCCTGGTATCAGTTGGTTAAAAACACTTTATCATGTAAGCTAAAATATACTGTACGTGCATTTAAAAAAATTATCATCCATCACTTGGTCAAATGTCAATTTTTCAAATGCCAAAAATCAAATGATTTCAAATAGAAATTCAATATGGTCCTTTTAATGTTTTATTATTTCTTAAGAAGTGACATCAAGAAAATTGTTTACACTTAATTCCAACATCTTGTTCTTTTGTCTTTTCAGAACAATATGTGGTACCCCAAATTATCTCTCTCCTGAGGTCCTCAATAAACAAGGACACGGCTGTGAATCAGACATCTGGGCTTTAGGCTGCGTAATGTAAGTAAATGCACCACAGTGATTAAAAAAAAAAATTGGATATAGATTTTAACACTGGAAAGGAATTGCTTTATGGCCATCACTAAAGAAATGTTTCCTTGCACACAGGTATACAATGTTACTAGGAAGGCCTCCATTTGAAACTACGAATCTGAAAGAAACTTACAGGTGCATAAGAGAAGCAAGGTATACAATGCCATCTTCGCTGCTGGCTCCTGCCAAGCACTTAATAGCTAGCATGTTGTCCAAAAACCCAGAGGATCGTCCCAGTTTGGATGACATCATTCGACATGACTTTTTCCTGCAGGTTGGTGCCCCATCTTACGTCTCTTTATTACTTGCTATTGATTGCAATTGCAGTTACCTGGCAGGTTACTGAAAATCTTTTCTCATGCTCCACAGGGCTTCACTCCGGACAGACTTTCTTCTAGCTGTTGTCATACAGTTCCAGATTTCCACTTGTCAAGCCCAGCTAAGAATTTCTTTAAGAAAGCAGCTGCTGCTCTCTTTGGTGGCAAAAAAGACAAAGCAAGATACATTGACACACATAGTAAGTTATACAACTTCTCCCCCTTTTCAACAGTAAAACACGCTTCTTGGGTAATTGCAGCAATCGAATACTACTTTTGCCTTAAATGCCCATAACCTGACTAATAAAACAAAAAGGAAGAAATGTGGCCAGCTCTCTCTGTCCCTACCTTGTTGGGAGAGACTAATGTTTGTAATCTTTTCCTTGATTTACAGATAGAGTGTCTAAAGAAGATGAAGAAATATACAAGCTTAGGCATGATTTGAAAAAGACTTCAATAACTCAACAACCCAGCAAACACAGGACAGATGAGGTGTGTTGGGAAAGAATTAAACGGATACAAACACTGTAGCATTTCTATTCTTCGTTGATTAGCACTTGGACAGTGCTTATCAGAGTCTAAGCATGCTGAATTTACTTAAAAATTTTTTTGTAACCCTTTTAGAGGAAAGATAATGACTTTTATTTTTAAAACGCATGCATGGGCTACACTGCAGTATCTTTTGTCTAGCTTGTGTCTATTGCTTTTTGATAAGCTTTCCGAGTAATTGCCCCAATCTCAACATAACCTGGAATTCTCAACATTAAATGAATTTAGGTGTTTGACTCATTGTGTGACTCTTCTCCCTTCTAAGGAGCTCCAGCCACCTGCCACTACAGTTGCCAGATCTGGAACACCTGCAGTAGAAAACAAACAGCAGATTGGGGATGCTATTCGAATGATAGTCAGAGGGACTCTCGGCAGTTGTAGCAGTAGCAGTGAATGTAAGTGGTTACTAATCACGTTTTAAATAATGGAACTATAAATGCCAGTGCTAAGTGCTAAGTAATTGAAGTCAATTTATTTTGAAGCTTAATTTGACATAGAGAAAGCAATATTAAAGGATTTTGAAAAAGATAAGGCATCATTCTGTGTGTTGTATGTCTTTAGAATTAGTGGAAGGAAACTTGTCATCTGCAAAAGCCTGCAGTTTTCTTGCTAGTTTATAATTATGTTTCTCTTTGACTTTTCAGGCCTTGAAGACAGTACTATGGGAAGCGTTGCAGACACAGTGGCCAGGGTTCTTCGGGGATGTCTAGAGAACATGCCAGAAGCTGACTCCATTCCCAAAGAGCAGCTGAGTACATCGTTTCAGTGGGTGACCAAATGGGTCGATTACTCTAACAAGTACGGCTTTGGGTACCAGCTCTCAGACCACACTGTCGGGGTCCTTTTCAACAATGGTGCTCACATGAGCCTCCTTCCAGACAAAAAGTAAGTGTATCCAATTAATGAGATTCTCTCAGTTTCTAGTTTTGCACTAATGAAATCTTAAAAACAGGGACTAACTGCTTCTGTTTTTCTCTCCTCTTGCCCTATCATTCCTGTCCTTTAGAACAGTTCACTATTATGCAGAGCTTGGCCAATGCTCTGTCTTCCCAGCAACTGATGCCCCGGAGCAATTTATTAGTCAAGTGACGGTGCTGAAATACTTTTCCCATTACATGGAGGAGAACCTCATGGATGTAAGTACTGTAGCTTTAGAGTGGCCATATACTACATATTTTAATAGTGTAGCCACAAACCAGTAGCAGCTACATCATTTTAAAACTTGTTAGAAGTGAAGATTCTCATGTCCTACCCTAGACATGGGAGGTAGAGCCAGGAACCCCCAAATCATCTTGATACTTACATTTCAGAGGCCTTTGCTTAGAAGAATAGAATGAGCACCACAGCATCTTTCTAGGCACTAAGTCACTCCTGATCTCTTCCAGGGAGGAGATCTACCTAGTGTTACTGATACTCGAAGACCTCGGCTCTACCTCCTTCAGTGGCTGAAATCTGATAAGGCCCTAATGATGCTCTTCAATGATGGCACGTTTCAGGTAATTGAGCCCTTTGGGAAAATGCATCTTTAGGTCCTAAAGAACATAATTTTTACCTAGCCAGTTGAGTTATTGACTGAAATTTCTTAATTTTGAGTATTTAAGATGATCTAATATCCATGTTTATTTTTTAAGGTGAATTTCTACCATGATCATACGAAAATAATCATCTGTAGCCAAAATGAAGAATACCTTCTCACTTACATCAACGAGGACAGGATATCTACAACATTCAGACTGACAACTCTGCTGATGTCTGGCTGTTCATTGGAATTAAAAAATCGAATGGAATATGCCCTGAACATGCTCCTACAGAGATGTAACTAAAAGACTTTTTGAATGGACCCTATGGGACTCCTCTTTTCCACTGTGAGATCTACAGGGAAGCCAGAGAATGATCTAGAGCATGTTGAAGATGGACAGTGGTGGTACGAAAACAATTCCTCGGTGTCCTGCTGGACGGGATGGAACCAGACCAGGCTGAGGCATGCAGCTCTTGACTTTGGACAATCTTGTGTGAACCAGAGTGCAGTTTTCCTCGAGATACCTGTTTTAAAAGGCTTTTCGGACAATATTGCAGAAAGGTGCATTGACTCTTAACTTCTCTCTGTTGAGAGCGTTTCAGCCAGAGGACTCGGAACTGTGAATCTACTTCCTAGAGGGGAGGGAGAAGGGAGGAAGCTCCCATGTTGTTTAAAGGCTGTAATTGGAGCAGCTTTTGGCTGCTTAACTGTGAACTATGGCCATATATAATGTTTTTTTTGTTAATTTTTGCAGACACTTGTGGCTGGAAAAGTGCATTCCTTGTTAATAAACTTTTTATTTATTACAGCCCAAAGAGCAGTATTTATTATCAATTTTTTTTATGTTGACCATTTTAAACTGTTGGCAATAAAGAGTATGAAAAAGCAGAAATTTGTCTCCTGTCTTCAGTATCATGCATTACAATACTTCTTTTTCACAATACTTCTTTGATCATGGATCCTTGGCACTGTTGGCCATGACTGAGTGTGGAAGCATACTAGAAAGGCAGGTCTTTAATTTTTCTAATTACAGTTTCTAAGAAGTCAGTCTTTATTACTCAAAGACCAATCATAGGCTTTTGGCATAAATCTAGTTTAAGAAGGCCACTCTCAACACAACCAAAATAAAGGCCTCCTACAGAATCCAAAACCAATTTCTGTCTGGATTGTGTCCTCGAAACTCACTCAGCTTGAAACTGAAAGCTGGAGTAATCCTGTGTAAACAGACCTCTGTTATTAACTGTCAATAGGTACAGGAAGTTTATCTTAATATGAGCAAAACTCGGAATTAGAATATGTGCACCACCTAAATGCATTACTCAGCTCCAACCTGCCTAAACACTTCAGTGCTGCTGGCAGGACTGGCGCATAATTCCAGTAGTGGAAAATACTTGGTAAATCAGTCATTTTATTTTCCTTCTGGTGCTTGGTGGTTTAGAAGTGGTGTGGGAACTGAGAAATGGTTTAGGGTCCATCTTTTAAGCTATTAAGTCACCCCAGAGTCAAATCTAAAGTTTTCTCTTTCAGTGCGATCTATTCTGACCCTGTAAAGAAAAGCTGCCCATCTTGTTACTCTAAACAGTGATCTACATAAGATGCAAATAATTTGTTGTTGTTGTTGTTCAGTTGTGATCCTACCATAAGGAAAATACTGTCTTGTGAAAAGTGCTTTGGTTTCTTTTTAGTGCCGTGGCATCACAGCTCATAGCAACCTCAAACTCTTGTCCTTAAGCGATTCTCTTGCCTCAGCTTCCCAAGTATTTTTTGGTTGCAGTTGTTGTTTGGCAGGCCTGGGCTGGATTCAAACCTGCCAGCTCTGGTATATGCGGCTGGCGCCCTAGCCACTTGAGCTACAGGTGCCCAGCCGTGCTTTGGTTTCTTAAGGCTGTGTTTACACTGGGATCCTATATGGTGTGACATAGAAACAACTTTAATAATTTTCTAAAATGTTTATAAACTCTACCTGGTATGCTGTATTAATATAAACCAAATCTGGGAAAGTGTTATGGGTATTTCACAAGTTCTAGATTAACTCTTGCTAGAGTTGTCTGCCTGTGTATACAAATTCAGTGTTTGTTAAAGACTTTGTTTAAAATGGCTAATAGTAATACTTCAAAAAAACTGAACAACTGGCAGCTGGAGGTGAAAACATAGAATCTAATTTTATGATAAGAAAACAATAGTGTTTGCAAATTGTGAAAAATATTTCTTCATTGTGGAGTTTCACAGTGTAAGATTCGTATTATTTCGTGGTTTCTGAATACACACACACTTATCCACTCTTGTATGTACTAAGTATTGCCTCTGTGCCAGACCCAGGGTCCGGCATTGGAGATGTAAAGCCAAGCCTCTCCTTTCCCTCAAGGAATTTGCAGTGGTGAGGAGGAGACGGTGCATTTACCTATTAGTCTGATAAGTGCAGTGATTTTATGATAAAGGTATGTACTGGGTGGTGGTGTGGGAACCAACAACAGGGAATCATGAGGAAGAAGCCCCAGGCATGGGTTGGACTCAGAATGGATTCCAGAGGAGGAAACTCTTTTTATTTGAATGATAAGTGGGGGTTTAGTAGTGTAAGGTGGGGAAGAGTTACAAGCAGTGGAAATAACATGTACAGAGGCCTAAGGATGAAAGAGTTCACAGTACAAGTGGGTGTGCTAGTCTGAAGCACTGCAGGGAGAGGCTGAAAGAGACGAATGTGATGCTTCCCAAAGCTCTTAGGCTGTGTCTTGAAGGCTATGTAGAGCCACTGACACATTCTGAGCAGGAAAGTGACAGTATTTCAGATTGGTAACATTCATTCTGGGGCTATAGGTGAGAGGAGCGGAGAGCAAGATGGAGAGAGACAGCTCAAACAGTAAAGAAATCAGTGCTGTGTTCCGGGGAGAAAGGACCCGAGCGCTGAGCAGAGGAGCCAAGGGAGAGTATAGGCAGTCTCTCCTGTAACCTGTCTGGTTCATTCAGTGTACCCAGCACTGGGCACCAGACCTGGCATGGGGCAAACATTGAATGAATGAATAAATAAGGAACTTAGAAAGTTGATTTTAATAGAATTTGGAGCCTGATTGAATGTGGAACCTGAGAAAGAGGGTGGGATATAGGATGATTGGGAAGTGGGGGAAAGTTGTGTGCTGTGGGACCATTAACTATAATAATTAGGAATATAGAAGGAAAAGCTTGATAATCATGAATATGCAGTGAGTTTAGGACATGCCAATCATATGAGGATTCCCAAGTATATCCAAAAAGCAGTTGGATATACATGTGTACATCTCAAGAGAACAAGATTTGGGGGTAACCAGATCTTGGATAACAACATGCGGGTGGATGAGAACACATAAGGATGGATTCCTGTCATCTTTTCCACCCCGCACTTCTATCTCCTCTTTCTCTTAAATCCCAAAGTGACGTGATTGCTAAGAGCTATAGTTTATAGGGCAGCAGAAAGCTAGAGAAGAAACAGAATAGGGTGAAGAGGGTGCATTTAGGCTTCTGTGATTTGTTGCATCACCAGGCCTTTTTAAAATTATAGAGAACATTTTTTAGGTACAGGGGTTATCTTTATAAAGCATAATAGTGTTGACTGATCTTTGCGGTGGGGGAGCAAGAATAAAAGCTAACCCAAATAAATTACCATTACAAATAAAGGGATTCTGAATTCCCAAAGTATGACTTCAAATGACTTTAATGAACACCTTTGATCCCCCAAAGTGTTTCTACATTAGCCCTCATAAATCCTAACAGGGCATAGGTTGTGAAAAAAAGAGCAGTCTTTATTGATGTACCAGCTGTCTTTAGCTAAGCTTGGCATGGCCATGGCAGTAACCTGGAACTCAGGTTATTTGACATTTATTACTTTTATTTATTTTTTTCATGTATACATTAATGCATTTATAGGGTACAATGTGCTGATTTCATATAGAATTAGGAATGCTTACATCACACATGTCAATATATACGTCATCTCACTTACTTAATTATTGTGTTAAGACATTTATACTCTATACTAATAGATCCCACATGTACCCTTGTATTATGCACCATGGGAGTGATATCCTAGTTCCCTCCACACTTTGAGACATATTGCTAAATGTTACATTATGTCTACTAGGGAGAAACACACTCCAGTGGAAGAGCTTTGGAATCAGCCCTAAGTTCAAATTCCTGGCTGTTCGTGTGTTAACAACATGATCTCTCTAAACCTCAGTTTCAGAGATTTTCAGGGATAAAATACAGTGGAGATCATTGGTTATACAGATGATGGAAGAGCTCAGTGGTGAGGCAGCCCAGAGATTTCATAACTGCAGGAAGCCAGTACATCCCAATGTCTAGAGAGGCCCAGAGAAAAAGTGTTGGTACCAGATTCCAGAATTGGGGTTTCTGGCAGAAATGAGAATCATGGTGGCCACTGCTTATCAAGACTGAGATTAAAGAGCAAATGCTCTAGATGGCTCAGTACATATTTGGCTGAGAAAGAAAAGGACAAAATATTCTCCTTCCTTTGGTCTCCAGTCTTCCACTGACCAAATGCACTAGAAGCCAGTGGAAAGGAACCTGAGAAAGGTCATTGCAAAGGTCATCCTCATATTGGAGAACAAAGCCTCCTGGCTTTGTTGTGTCTGACCTTGAACAGGCAAATGAATGGCCCACCTTCCTTTCTTAATTTTTCTCATCAATTAACTTTATAACACTTCTATCTCCTCTTTCTCTTACATCCCAAAGTGACGTGATTGCTAAGAGCTATAGTTTACTGGACAGGGCAGCAGAAAGCTAGAGAAGAAACAGAATAGGATGAAGAGGGTGCATTTAGGCTTCTGTGATTTGTAGCATCACCAGGCCTTTTAAAAATTATAGAGATTGTAATCTAACAAAAACAGGTGTGACTAATAATGAATAGATGTATCTTCACGAAGTACGCAGAAAAATCAATGTTGGTATTTTATGGCAATTTCACACATGAAAGATGAGTATATTTCTACGGCGTGTGATAAACTTTTCTATAAACAAAAACCTGTAGATGCTTTGTTTTTCCTTAACTTGGAAAAGATTCTAGCCTGTATGTTTAGATTCATGCCTTGTTCTAGCACTTCTTTATGCCCTATTAACTTTTATAATGGAAAGCATCTCTTTGAATTGCCACAATTCAATTATATTAGTGAACTCAAATTAAAGAATTTAACTTCCATATGCGGTGTTAAAATATAATATGATGGTTCATCAAATGTTTGAAATTCAACTGAAAAGAAATATGGCTTTTGCCTCTGGGATTAGCCTTGTAATACCTTTATATATAAAATAAAATTGATTCTAATGACAGAGATACAATAACTTCCCTTCCAAGTTGAGATGAAGTTACTGATCTATTTCTGTTATGAAATACTGAATGATTAGATATTTTAATGCAACTGTGCCTATTAAACAAATTCTCTCTTCTAGGCCGGAAACAAATTAGTACCGTGAGAAATCAAGCAACAGGCCTACGTAGAAATCAGCAATGGCTTTCTTTGGAACTCCTTTGAAGTCAGTGTCAGAAGAATGACTTATAAAGTTGTGAACACACAGTCAGACATGTCAAAAGAATTTTGTTGATGCATCAATTTACGAAGTGATTCGTGTGATCCTTCCAAACAGAAAACTGTGGGAAAGGTACGATGATGTGAATTTCAAAGAACTTTGGAACTATATGGAAGATGTTTAAATATTTCAAGAGCTAAATAAATGGAAAATCCAAACACCTGTCAAGGCTTATAGATAGAGAATTGGATAATGACACACATAACTAGTGGTGTATCAGAAAATATTGAACAAGCAGCTTTTCTGGAGATGGCAAGAGGTGTGTAAATTCTTTTACCGTGACTGATTTCAAGTGACCAGATTGATGCCACCGGATGA